AAAAAAAAAAAGAGACAGGTGTTGCTTGGCGACTCATTTAATCCAGGGGAGCGTCTGAGGCACAGCTGAAGTCATTATAGCCTCCAGAAACCATCTAAACCAACTGCACTCCTAATGAGCGAAGATCATTCCTGAACTCACTATTAGTATGAACTGCTCAAATGTGAGGTACTGTTAAAGAAACAATAAGCTGTGCTGGGTAAAGACAAGATAGCCACTACAATCAACGCCCTTGTCCACATTACAGCTCTAGAAGAGTCATAGTGCCTGGTTATGGCCTAGGTAAAAGCCGTAACGCAGGCTGCCTGTCCCCACAGTCAGATGAAAATCCTGGTTTATAACTATTATCAGGGCACATCAAGGATCCATCTACACTACAACTTCTGCTACACCTTCAGGAGCCTCTGACTCAAGAGCCTTAGGAGCCTTGTCCTGGTTCAACCCTGTTTCGAGAAGACACTTAAGCACGTGGTGCATGCTTGAGGCTTGGAGGTCCAATGCGAGACACCCATCTTCTAAGGCAGGGTGTTGAGCACCGATTGGAAATTAGGTCCTTCAAAAGGTACCTTAAGGATGCCTAACAAGAGGTACAGTCAGGCATTCGGACTCACAAGTCACTTTTGACCATTTAGGATCTAGTCTCCTGTTCTAATTACTAGACCATTCTGTTTCCATCACTGACTATCTTATAGATGGCCAGTTACTTTTTCTGAAGGCTGGCTTTCGTGGTATTTTAAAACTACTTACCACATCCTCGTTTTCCTCTTCTGTTTTTCCCTCTAGATCTGCATTTTCTCTACAAGACATTGTTTCCCCATGTGTAATGTTATTTGGGGAAATTACAGATTCTTAATTCATTCAGAGAATGCAATTAATTTGGATTATTGCTGCATTTCTAATACGACTCATAACAGAGGGAAGGGTGCCACTGTTCCTCTGCATTCTGCCCCTGATAAAATAATTAGAATAAAATCTATGAAAAACCAATCTAAAAATATGGGCTCCTGAACCCAAAACAGTCAAGGTCTGGAGCTTTGTTTTCCACCACAATCCACCCTCATTAGTAGAAGCGTCCAAGGTGCATGGTAAAATGGTACGACATGTATATGGCTTTGTGGCTTGGATCAAAGATTGTGGGCAGGAATGTTGTTGATCAGATGAGCTATTCGGAGAATGTGTCACAGCGTTGCTTACAAGAAAGACCTGTTCAAGGAACTTGGCTAAGAGGTTGCTCACAGTGGAAAGGAAAAAATTAATTTTTGTGGCTAGTGCCTTACACAATAACGGCACATTGGAAGCAGCTGGTCCACGGTCCAACCTAGGAAGAAATAAGTGTATCCAACAAATACAAACATGGCACACGGCTGTGAAAAATAAGAGGGAGAGAACTAAAGGAAGCAACTTATATAGGGTGTGCGTTACTACCAATAAGTCGCCTAGTAATCCTATTTCAGCATAGACCCAAGGTTATTTCTGCAGATCTACTCTCATCTGCATAATTAAGAACTGGGCTGCAGCAAAGACAATGACCAGAAATGCTCCCATATGGCACATGCAAAAGAGATGTACAAGCGCTAGGATTCAACGTGCTGCACTTTTGAGTAAGGGTCTAAATTTTAGAGAACAAACAATCAGCACATACCTGCATGCATGAGGAAATTCTCAAGAGCAGGTTTGTGGACACAGTAAGTGCACATAGCTCACCATGATACTGAGCCTCATACCCAAAAGGAATCACAAACCGCTTACAGAGACTCCTTATGAAGATCCTGAGCTGACAAGGAGCAAACATAGCTTACAGCTTTGGGATTTGTGAGAGGTGAAGGTATGGCTGTCCCCTCTCCTGCCATTCTTTAAAACAAAACAAAAAGTTGAAAGTTTTGGAGGGAAAGAAATTGAGAACACCCAACACAAATTGAAAGATAAATAAGGAAGCATTTTGCAGAACTTGTCTCTCGCTTGTAGTTCCACTAATACAGCATTTTGAACCAGTATTGTAGCATGCTTATATAGTACTAATACCCAAAGTCCTTAACCCATGAGAACCATGTTGTACTTGGCTATAGGCAGATGCGCTGGGAAATGCAAACTCTGCCCGGAGTAGATTCCAGTCTTAAAAGCATAACGCTCAGAAAAAGGGAGAAGGAAAATGTTACACCAAGCAAGCAAAGCTGTCACTAGATAAGTTAGTCCTGTTTTAAAAAATATAAATATATGTAAATCCATCTCGTTGGTGTTACAAAAGTAGTAGAGAAGATGCAGGAATCACTTGAGTAAGAGGCACGGAGGGAGGGAGATGAAGCTAGGTGCTGTTTGACAGCCTAAGGGTTGTACTGAAGGGGGACTACCACTTAACAAGAGTAAAGCAAACGAGGGGAGAGAAAAACTCCCATCAGACCTGAGTAATTAAGAACTCATGAGATTTTCAAGCCCAATACATCAAGGTGCTTGGCTCAAGCCAATGCTGATGGATGAGCAGAGCCGATAGAAAGGTTTGGGACCATTTCCCCTCCCCCCTCACTCAGATAATGCCGATTCAACAAATCAAAACACAAAGTGAGAACGCATGGTTTTGAAACGTTCAGCGTGAAATTATATAAACAAGAGAAGAACAAACTTTCATTTTACGAAGCTGAAATAATGGTTTTGCCTTTATTTACATATTTTCATACGGTCCAAAACCATTTTTATTTTTTTGGAACACTTTCAAAAATTGTACCCTCGGAGATGTAGCAATTTTCAAGTCTCAGGATTCTGGGTGGTTTTTGAAAACCACCTCAGAGCATATTTATATTTCTATGTACATGAAAGCCAGGAATGGAAATTTTTGACCCGAGGAAAAAAAAAAAATCTGAGCATCTGAAAACAAAAGGAAGGCCTGAAAGTCAACTTTTCTGTTGTTTTGCTAGCTGCCTCAAAATTATTGCTTAGCTTGCTATGGAAGTCACTACAAACTTTCAAGTTTCTCTGAGATTAGTACATTTTGGGTGGCAGAAGAGCTCAGATCATACAGTTTAATCGTCCTGTTGAGTGACTCTAGGGAAGGTGTTCTTGTACTATATTACTGGGACAGCTTGTTTGGATATCGAGCTTCAAATAACACATCTGAAATATACAGTTCAGCAGAAGCATTAAGGTAATGGAAACTCCACTTTTCTAATGTTCCAGCATATAAATAGAACACCAGTCAGGACACTAGACAATTGACTGGCTTTGCTCAAATGCACGCAGAAATAAATGGAAACATCCTTATTTCCTGTCCCAGGGGGCAATTATTTCAGAGCCTGGCTTTGTGCATTAATAAAAAGCAAGATTCTATTGTCTGGTAGCAAAAGTATCTTACTGTACTATGAGTGTAGCGCTGCAGAAGAAAACTAAACCCTACTTTGAACAGTTCTTCCAGCTCTAATCATAAATGCACATTTAATTCAACTTCCTATCGGCTGCGTCAGCACTCACCTGCCCAGAAGGGGAAAACAAGGATTTTCAAATGTCAGAGCATTTTGGAAAAAACAGTAGAATAAGTCTGAAGATTTGAATTTCCACATGCATTCAGGAGAAAGAACTTGCTTTAGTCCTTTCATGTCTTTATACCTCCATTTCAGTCCCATTACAGTGGGTCAGGAAAAGTAAAAACTCACTTGCGCTCTGGAAAAAAAAGTGGTAGGAAAGGATTGGATGCTGGGAGCATTTCTCCCCATCCACTAGAACAAAACGAAAGAATGCCAAAAATACTCTCATCTCAAAAATATTTTTTAAAATTGAAACATTAAAAAGGAACAGAAACAGTAAAGGAAGTTCTTTGTGAAGCAATATTTACTTGAAAAAAAGATGTAAAAAGCAACAGGCAAAAAAGCCTTTTCTGCATCTGTACAGGGCCCTGCACAGGGGGAGAGAGAAAGCACGCATGCACACGCGCTAACCCTAGGGCATTCAAGCCTCGTGAATCATCTCTTCCCTACCCCCTGCCCAACCAAGAAACCCACAATATGCCATAGGATGTTTTTAAAGTAATGCATGAAGAGTTCTTATTTGCTTTATGGTTTCAGATCCTTTAGGGTGCAACCATCCAAGTCCAGTATCATCATCCTTAATTCTAAACCAAATCCTGTGCTATCCAATGATCAAAGCTGGGTGCTGAAATACTGCGTGTGGTATAAGTGCCCAGAGACTTGCATGCAAGACTGTTTTAGAAATAGTTTATATAAGATTTAGAGAAGAAAGATGGCTTTGTAGTTGAAGCACCACAGCACAGATCTGAAGGCTTAGGTGCGGTGCATCCCTCTCCCCCATGCCTTTAGCTCCGCTTGTTATTTTGAGTAAAATACTTGGCTGGTCTCTGCCTCAGTTTCCCCTCTCTGTAAAATGGAGCCAACAGCAAATGTCAAATATCCAGTTGCATGTTCTAGGCATTTGCAAGCATTTATCATTCAAAATAGAGAACGAATCCGACGCATGAGATTACCATAGCACAAAGCAGGAAGGGTCAGATTTTTGTTAGAAGGAAGCCTTAAAATTTGCCGCTAGCTTTCTACTTACATAGGCAGCTGGCAGGATACCAATGGCTTTAAAGAAGAAAGAAAAAAGAAAGAAAGATTTTTGGAGATACATAACTCATTTAATTGAAACCATTAGTTTTACTGGCAGACAGCTTCACATTTCTGTTCTGTTAATCCGAACAAAGTGCTGCAATTATGACTCAATACACAATGTCCTCTAGTGCCACTCACCCCTTGCTCACATAGTATGGAAAGAAAAAAGAAAAAACTTTTCAGTTAATGAAACATCTAATGCTTCTATCCAGAATACTTTTATTATATGGTTATCATATACATCAGAATTATATTGGAAACATTTACAAATATGTAAAGAGTAGTTCATAACCTCCAGTATTCACATACACACAGTAACTCACACACTCATTTTGCATGTCTAGTCAGTTATCAGGCAAATGATACACAAAATTATTGCTTTGTGAACATACACCTCCGATTAAAATTTAATCTTCAGTGGCAAGAACTGAGAATTAAAAAAAAAAAAAAGTCTTAAATACCCTGTATAACATACCTGTGCATAAACCTAACAATGTATTTAGCTTACCCATTACCTTTGAAATACTTACCAAAATTAAAATTTGAAACCATTTTTATAAAAAAAAAAAAGTATTAAAAAGTTCACCATTATTTACAAATCCGATTAAATTACACATAAATAAATATATACATTCAACACACTGCTTCCCTTAAATTCACATAAAGCCTCCCTGGATTCTTTTTTTAGGCCCTAATTGGCAAAAATGTTCTCTTAAAAAAAAAAAAAGAAAAAAGTTATGTGCCTATTCTTTCAAGTTTTTTTTTCAATTTAAAAGCATGACCCAATATAAATATGCAAATAAAGCTGCAATATCCTTAGAAAATCTGTTTTTGCCTAAAAGGATTTTTTTTCCCCAGTCTGATGTAGTTCTTATTTGTTAAAAAATATCAAGATGATATCCACTGCAGCCAACATTCCTGCAGTTTTAAAAAGCCTGAATGTTTCCATAAAAAATAAGCCTCGTAATTAAAACAAACGTGTCAAATGCCATCAAATAGCTTTTACATCTAAAGACTTCAATTTTCTCCCATGGTAGTCTGAAAATAAAGCAAAACCAGAATGATCTTGCCATCTTCAGGTATTTATAAAACATTTAAAGTACGTAAATCTAAAAATCATTGCTTAATACTGCATTATTGTTATCGTTGCATTTAAAAAGAATAAAAACCTGAAATTTCATCCGACAGTGAACGGGAGCCAATCTAAAATTTGCATCTTAAAAAATATACACAGAGCTAGTCACCACTAGATAGTTAGGTGTTGAAAACTCTCTATCTTTTTGCATATCCATCAATAACATTATAGCACCACTTTTACAGCAAAGGATTTTAATACGTTTGTGCCGGTACTCATCTTCGGTAACTGATTCCACAGTTAAGGGACAACGCAGCTTTAGAAAGGTTTGTCTTACGGATCCGGAGTGGGGGGGAAGGGGGGGGTGAAGACCCTGAAAAAAGGGCCATTTCCCCCTCCACTCCCCCTTTTTTCCTACCTGCCCCCTAGGCAAGAAGAACTCAAGTCTGTGTTTAGAAGGAACGGTTCGAAAAAGTCTGGTTTCTCTCATTTTACTTCCTGTGCTTATCCATTTTATCAATGGTTTTGTTGGTTTCTGCAGGGCTCTGGTCACCAGTGTTCATATAGGTTTTGTCTGCTATTTTTAACGCTTCATTTAGGTAGTTCTGGACGGATGTCATGGCAGCACAGATGGCAGCACTCCCAAAGCCATGTGTGATCAGGCTAAAATGAGTCAAACAGCCCTGGATACCAGGGTCCAAGATTGGACTAGGTCTAGTGTTTCCAAGAGGAGTTCTATCCTGAGTGAGGAGGTCTGTGAATTCCTTACAGATCTGCCTGCAAGACATAAGAAGTGTTCACACTTTACACCAGAGCCAGGGTTCCTGCAGGAAGTACAAGAAGTCCTACAAGATTTAGCAGGAAGAAAAAGGAAGATGGGGAGGGGAGGGGGCAGGGAAGAGAGATGCAGGGTCCTTTAAAACAAAATGAACCAGCAGTAATAATTCGGACTACGTAGCAACTAGAAAGACTTTAAAAAAAAAAGTCAGTTACATTTTATGGTCTCATCAAGATCCTTGATCTAATTTGAAAAATTAAAGCCTCAGTGCCAGTCTCTGATGTCCATTTAACTATATATCATACAAATGTGCACACACTTTCCAAAGTGTGATCTTTCCAGTTTTGGTGTCTGGCTGGTTCTGTTTCATTTACTCCTGATTTTTTTTTAAATTAATTTAGGGCCAGTTTCTGTGAGAACTTCCACAGCTGCATTTAAGTCATTTGCAATTGATAATACGGCTGAACTGGGGCATTTCATTTAGCTGTGTGCATTATCCACATTTACCCACCTCATTAGAGGCCCTGATCCCATGAATACTTATGCACATGAGCAGCACACACAAATGTTCAATGCGACTACTCAAGCACATGAAGTTACTCCCATGCATTACAGCTCACAGGAGCAGAGTCCTAGATTTTAGATGTGCTTTGTTCTTTTCACGTGAACTGAGGGAAGTTAATGGAATCATCATTATTGGATCAACTGCACAATAATGTGCTGTATTTTGGGGGGAAAAGGAAAAAAAAAGTTACTCTAGAGTACAAAAATATATACTTGAACAATTAAGTGTTATTTCATGTTTGTGAATATAGTATTTTCATTAAGAGATATATTCCCATGAATTAAGCTTCTTCTTGTAGGAAGAATTCAATATTTGTTTGTGTGGTTCTCTCCGATTGTAAGCCAACACAGTTATCTCTGAGCCCAGATAACTGTAAGCCCACTCAAGGCAAAGAAATTCCTTTTGCCGACTCCAGTGGGCTTTACATCAGAGCTTAAAACTGCTGCTATACAACGCTGTTTAAAAAAACCCAAACAAACAAAAGACAAAAAACAGACAGGTGCACATACAAAAAAAAAAAAGTATCTTCTTATTCTATAAAAGCCTAGTGCCATGTCTACAGATGCTGGCTTTCAGCCTCACTTAATTCTTCAGCACAGTACTGCAAGGGCTTATGACAACTCTTGGAATTATAACACACACGGGGCTCTTCATTTTTAGTAAAGAGCCAAGAACTGGGCCGTATTTTACAATATCAGATTTTTCTGGTCACCGAAAGCAGCATTGTAAAAAAAAAAAAAAAAAAAATCTCCAAACTTACTTTGCAGCAAGAAGCATGTTTTTCCTGTTAGCCATCTCGTTACGGCCCAAGTGCGGTCTGGTTAAATATTCAGCCACTGCTTTAGAGGGAAACTCTGTCTCACATACATAGCCAAAGTCACGAGCAAGATGTACCGCTTCACCTGGAACAGGGAGAGGGAATAAGTGTGCACATTTACTGGGTGCGAGAAAACCAGATGTTCACCATCAGAAGATTAAAGAAATATATACCAAGTACAAGTACTTAAGTTCCTCCTAGCATGCTCTAATTTAGAAAGTCATTTATGTAGTGATTCACCCCACTGTTTGTTGTTATTTTCTAATAGACAATACATCTCCCTTCCTCAAATTGGACTGGGGAAAATCTGTATACCATGTGCTTTAAAATAATTGTTTTGGTTGCCTTTGCATCAGAAAACAAGCTGTGGGCTTCTGCATCTAGTTAAGGGTAGGTTTGGCTCTGAATACTCAGAAGGCACACAAAACTGGCAAGAGACCTCCATTTGCGCAAGCAGATTTCTGAAGTTAAACAGACTTTGCACACAAGGTACTATTCACAAATAATCATTTGAATACATATTCAATTGAGAGAAAAAAAACAGCAGTATTGTTTTGGCCAATTAAAAAACTCATTCTAGCAAAAACCCCGAATTTTATTGCGACTTACATGTCAGCAGACACTTGGACTGCAGTCCCAATTCTGCTTTCCAAAAGAATTAAACTAGAAACCAGCACAGTATTTTGAGAAACAGCTCTTCTCAGTCTACATGAAGTTAGATTTAAGTATTCCTACCCCTTAACAAAAATCGGCTGAGCGCACCCACTCCTGAAGCCAAGCTAGGCTCATCCAGGGCCCACATAACATGCTGCAGATTAAACGAGCTCCGGTTTCCTACCAGGAAGTCAAAAGCTGTAAATCTCACTTTATATGCACGTTTATTAGGAAAGCTTCTGAGGATACCATGGAGGTAGGTCACTCATTGGAGTCAGCTGCTCCTGTGCTTTTAAGTCTCCCAATAGGAAGCCAAAGGACATAGAAATGGAGGAAGTTCACACACTCCCCTACTCAACCAACATGCACACTCCAGCTTCCAGACAAGTTGAGGTCCTCAATGAGACTTAAGACCTGCTTGGTATAAAGGAATTCCTCCCTTTATACCTGTCAAGTTCACCACACCGCAAAAGTGACTAGGATATATTCTAACCCCGTTGAACAGAATGAATAAAAATGTTTATCTCGTGAATAAAAACTTCAGTTACTGCTGTAGGAATTAAAACGTACCATTGACACTTCA